ACCATGCATCTATCTCAACTTATAACCCCCAGACAAAGAGCCCAGATTCTTTTGAAATCCATAAAACAGAACCCACAGACTTCAGTCGCTAAGAGCTACGGCTAAAGGGAATGCGGGATACGCCTCAAGTGCTTGGCTCTGAGGTTGACGTGTGCTGCTTGATGATCGGCCAAACAATATCTTCATCTTTGTGGTTGCATCAAAGCATTGCTGGTACTCTGCAACAAGAAGTCGCTGGTTTCCGACTTAAGCATTGAGAAGCGTCAACACTTGTTGACTCGCACTTCTAGCAACAGACTGTTAAGTTTCCTTGGTAACTCCCATGATATTTAGTACAATTGTCTACTCACGTGGCCAAAAGGTGCTTTTATCGCTGCTCTCTACTCACCGGACATGTCCTTGCTGCATCTGCGCGCTGGCTGTGGGATGGACTTTGCATTGTTATGTTTCACTGGACCCTCCAAGCTGGTTCCCCCAACCTGGCCTTTGGAGGAAACCGGTCCGGACCGGGGCGATCCCACGAAAGTGGCCTGTCCTCAAAGGAAACCAGATGGGTCCTAAATCAGTGCTTCCCCTTTTCTTGAATTCCCCACTCCACCCCAAAGAGGGGTCCTTTTTACCCGGAGGTCAATGGGGAATCTTTCTGGACCCGGAGCAAGATCGGTGTGCTGATTCGTTGAGGCATGGTCAAAGGGATGGCTTACCGGAGAACCCCCCAAACTTGCCTTCTTCTGGCTTCAGTCTGGTCAAACTCCGCTTATAGAAGTTCCTACCTGCACCCTGGTTAGCCCTCGTATGTGGCGGGTGTTGCCCAACATGTACTGACTTTAAGACCTAACAAAATAAGCAGGGCTTTCCCAGATTTTCCGGAACCCCGACCCTTTGACAAGGCCTTTGATCCGATATACGAGCGAGCGATAAAGCGCGCCGACTGGTCCAAGCTGGCCTCGCAACGCGTAGGCCCCGGTCAGCGATGCGGCACTCGCAGGTTGCTAAAGTGGATGGAGGCATGGGCCCGACTTCGCCTAAGCTAGGTCCTCCAGTAGAGAGGTTAGAATAACGGTACCCTTCTTTTTCTGTAGTCTATTTTAGTAGGGGAACCCTCCCCCAAAAAAGGGTAAAACGGCACTGCTGAGGGATCTAGTAACGCTCCCGATTGGTTTGGGGTCACTCAACATGGGTCAAGAGCTCTTGGGCGGGGCGGGTTCATTGGAGAGCCACGGGTCTGTGTTTCAGGCTGCATCGTTCAGTGCCCAACATGAACTAGTGATTTGGTGAGTGAATTTGGCGAGGCTGGGCTGCCTGATGTCACCGGCAACCTGCTTCAATGGGCAGGCCATCAACAACACAGTTCCACAAACGAAACTTGTTTAACCCAGTTGTGTGTGCTTGACCAAGCAAAAGTGAAGTCAATCATAGTAAACAGTGAAACACCAACACGGACAAACATAAAGCTGTGTTGGTGTGCACGGTTGACAAACCACCAATCCCAACTGGTGTGCAAGAGTTGATTCAACCGCACAGAATATGGAGCCCTGAATGAACCCAAGCGCATTGGTTGATTGATCACTGACTAATTCTGGAAAGTCACCATCAAAACTATCGACTGTCGAGTTCAGTTCCTCCATCTCGTGCGTGCCGAGCTCGGAATCATTTCAAATTGGCACGGCACAGAGCCTTCCCTCTCAAAGATGCTGACAAATGGCGGCGGATGGTCTGGCTTGGGGGTACCCCCTTGGTTTAAAAGAAACCAAAAGGGAAACTTCCATTTGGGGGTCCCCCTAGTGTGACACATACCCAAATGAATGTCCACTGATGTGACCGGAAGAGTCCCTTACGAACCGTCAATCACTGATACCGCCCCAATCCGCAAAACCGATAGGATCATCCAAAAAGCATCTATCCCAGAATTGTTGTCCGTTGCCCGTGTCATATGTTGTCCCATTTTTACAATCCAAGCAAACAATGAATCAAGCAACGGCACACCCAAAGATACCTCCCACAAAAAACAACACACCAAACAAAGCATAAGCCACGCTCAAAGACGTGCTCGGCACAATTTCAAACCGAGTGGATTATTTTAAGTGCCCCTAGGTAGCTCGCATGAAAGAGCGTACAGCTGCACAATGCCCAGAAAACTCGTGCTTCGGTTTGTATCTTCGGTGGAACAAAAATGGATCTGGACAAATATGTAGTATCCATCCCCTTGCGACGCCACTGCCACCATCGCGTGTGATTTCTCTGGATCCTTCGGAAACCGAAGGATGGCTCTGCTGGAAACCGTTCAAAGGCGCGCCAAATCGGCCAAAGGCGTGCGCCGGTTGCAGTCAAAAGGTTGGCTCATGACATCACAACACCGCAAATAAGCAATCTGCTTTCGCGCTGTCCTTCCTGGTAGCTCGCTTTACCCGAACTAACCCGAACTCGCTAAACACAAATGCAAATGTTCGGCCTGTTCGACATGCTGGGGACCTAATCACAATCCGGAAAAACCGCTTGATTACTGTTCTGGTTGGTGATCTTTTAACGCTGCAAATTGTGAGTCAAACGCTTTTGCTGGAGCAAAAGGAAAATCCATGCAGCCCATATTCCGTAATCCCCACAATCTAGTCCGTGAACCGCTAGTCCGCACTCCTCTAATCATTGGGGATTAGGTTTTGAGCAAGCTAGAAACTACATGAAAGACTGGCCACACCATCGGGTACCGTTACAAACTCAAATAATACCTCCTCATCTGCACCACCGACGCATCCAAAAGCGTTCCTGAGTTCCCTGGAGCCACACGTCCAGTAGTGTGGGCCTGACAATTAGAACTGAAGTCTACGGACAGGCAAACGTCGTGCATTTGTTTTGCTTTACCTCCGTGTCTTGTGAACCACCCAGGCCATTCAAAAGAAACCAATGCTCATGAATTCATCATCACATGTTTATCCTCAAGACTAATCCCTTCTCCCTATTCATACATACGGCCCCGCCCAAATAACAAATATCATCTGCCCCCCAAACGATATTTACTAATAGGGTAGTTCAGGGTGGACCGGATTTCCTCTTCGGTCGCCCAAATGGGATCCCCTCTTTCCCACACGAAAACCGTCAAACTCGCAATTGTCCGAGTAATGAATTTAAATAACACCGTTCAAGGTTGACTTTCGCTTTTGAGGTTCAAAATTAAACGATGCATTTTTCATATTATAATTAAAGTGATACATATCAATGAGTAAAAAGAAAAAAAGAAAACGTATAAGTTCAAATGACTGTGCTGGAATACTCCCTAACAAGACTGGTGTCGGGATTGGCAGGTTTCGGATTGGTTTACATTTTGCCGTATTCTGAAAGTAATATTGGGGATCCGGCGGTCTGGCAAAAATGATATTGACTATTAGGGTATGTGCATTTATTGATAGGATAAAGGGATTGCAAAGGATCTCATTGTTGGGTGCAGCCCTGAAATAATAGAGTAAAGCCCGGGCAAAAAAGGATGACACAGGTTGCCGGAACGGCCAAAATGCCTCCCGGCGTCGCCCGAGTTTGGCATCAGCTCTCGCAAATTTGGGACGGTGAGGGTCGGACACCCATGGACTGCAAAGTCACGATGTCTCGGCTTGGTCGCGCCTTGCCTCCACTAGCTTTCCCCTTCGTCTCCGATGCCGGTTTTTCTTGCCAGTTCAACCTCCAGGTTTCCCCCTGGATGTTTTCTTAGCCACCTACGAGAGGGAAGCTTAGGATTCCTTAGGGTTCTTGGATTTAAGGAGCCTCGGCCATTTGGATCCCCTTCAAGCCCAGAACCTATGCGTTGCCATGACTTCAAACAACAAAGGGTTCACGCGGGGACAAACTATTGGACTGATATGCCTTTAGTACTCTGCTGATATTGAGGTTCACTTCTCCAAGTGCTGGCTTTCTTGTCAATGCTGGCACGGAACAAGAAAAAAAAAGAAAAAGAAGAAGACAAAAAAAACATCATTGGGTGCCAGCTCACAGCTGGACGCAATGTTTCCGGGAATTGATAGTTGTCAGGGACATTTGGAGAATGCTCTTGTTTGGCTGACAAATGGGACGAGTGATCCGGCCCTAAAAAGAAGAGGGATAGACTGAAAAGGAAAACCCATCATCGAAATCGCGCAGCAAGACCTGTGGAACAGAATTCAATCTATTATTGGGCCCCGGCCAATCAACCAAAAGCTTGAAGTTCGCAACTGGCGAGCTCAGCGTATTGCAGCTCGGTGCCCGACCTGCACCTGCTTGAAATATTTCATGTCTACAAAATCCGACAGCCCTGGGGGGCCATCCGCGTGAGGAAGCAATCCTCTGACTCTGCGAAGCGAAATTGATCTGAGCATGTCCATTGCCGGATACCATTCAATATGACATGTTGGCAGTGATCGCCTTTTCTCTCAGACTCCGCCAGGATAACATCAAAGAACAAACTTGCTTGCCGGGCTTGTCATATAACATCAAACGTAAGCAACAAACACGTGGAACAGCCAAGGCGTACATCCATTTGACCATGCGACATGCGCATTCTGGTCAGCATGGCATGTTATAGCCATCTAACACTTGCCAGTGCATGTCTGGGTCTCATCCCTGAAGACAAAAAGGAAACACAAGAAGCACCCTGGAGCAACAAGTCGGGTATATATGTTGAGGGCATCCTTTGGGGGTTCTCATAGAAGGCAAACCTTCGGACACCTACTGAAATGACAACCTATTCGGGAAGTTCATTCCCTGTTCAATGTTGAGCCCGAATTCATCACCCCGGCTGATTTCAAGATGACCCCCCGATCAACTAGTGGTGTGCTTTTTCTGGGTTCCCCTTCAACGGTGGCTTGAAACATCACTGGTCGCTTGCCTCATAAAAGCGAGTCTCCTTGCTTCCTTGTGGTGGGCTCAAAAAGGGAAAGCATAGGGTACCTAAAGCTTTCTGAATAGTTGGGTTTTATGCAGACTGCAAAGCATCGGCGTGCTCGCATATGGAGCATTGAGGCCTAACCGCCGGGATCTCACACCACCAGCGTTGTGTTCGCGCTCGCCGAACTCGAGTCGGTCTCCGGAATGGTGAGCGCAAAGTCCTTGGAGTAGTGGAAGCTCACGCTCAGCCCGGCCTGGCGGCTTGAGTGCAGCTCGATTTGTGGCTTTCTTCTGGTTTGCCTTTGAAACAACCCCGCAAAAGGCCCTCAAAGAATGCAAACGCAGAGGGCCGGTCAATACTTCTCGAATAGGTTTGCACGGCAATTGAACAACAACTCAAATTAACTTCCGATTCTGGGAAATCATGTGTTTATCTTTGGCCTGTATATTGCTCCCTCGTTCTTTCCCGTTGAGCCCGAGAGAAACTATGTAAAGTTTTCTGAATGTGCATCGGGGGACGTACCAACCGCCTTCGAACCTCCCGGACCCCCGAACACCCTTCCGGAACCTCACTCAGCATTGGCGCTCTCCCCAGTGTGGCCTCTGAAGGACTATATATATATATACTCACTGGCTGAGTGGGTGGCAAAAAAAAAGTCCAAACTTTATATTTACCACTAAAATTGTCTTCCCAAAAAGTTTAATGTTCATGAACTCAGGAAGTAAGTATATATGTGTACTCAAGCCGCTGATTAACATGGGACCCAAAAGACAATCCACATGTGGAGGAACCATCCGCGTGTAAGGTCATGGTGTGACTGCGGTTTGCGTGGGTCTTTTGATGTTAAAGGGAACCCCGGTTGCATGAACCCCTGGTTGATTCATGAGAAAGGTGCCCTGTGTTAAAGGCAATCCTTCACTTTGGGGGAGAATACAACAAAACATCCCACCAGATTGATTCATCCTTGTTGCGTTGGTTCACCAACCGAAACCAAAGGGACACAACATCAAAAACCCACACCCCATGCGCCGCCAATCCGCACTCCCTGCAGGCGACCACTTGCTTTACCCATGAAAGAAGGAATACACAAGAAACACATCAAACGAAACCTGTAAATTAAATGAACACACAACAACAAACACTTACATATATATGTGTATATATATATATATATATTATGACTGAAGGAAAGGAAGCAAATGAGGAAGGAAGAGATCAAGGAAGAGAAGCAGGAAGGCAGAAGGCAGAAAGGTTGGATAAACAAGCAGGCAAAACACACAGCACTCCATTCCCCACGGCTGATCTAAAGACCAGAAGGAAAACCCAAAGGGCCCATCACAAGTTGTGTACCCTTTTGGTTCCGTAATTCATTTTAGATGTTCGGAGCCCTGTTCTCCCCACGCAGATTGCGATTCTTTACATCCGAGGGCAAATTGGTCCCAACCCTTTTCTCCGGGCTTGGTTCCCTTGGATGAAGTGGGTAGCAGCCCTGTTTGGTGAGAAAAATACAACTAACCGACACGCCAAACACAAGACTTGCTGGTGCTCAGTAGGGAATGAGACATGGAATGACCCCCGTAAACCATCCAACTAGTGGTCCCCTTTATTCGGGAATCCCAAAACGGTTCATTCCATTTCTCATTCCCTACCTGTCGCACCAACAAAGAACCACGAGCGGATCCGGTTCGCCGGCTCGATTCGATGCGCGCCTCCTGGTTGGCCGGCTCATAAAGCTCCGAGAACAAGTTCAAGGCCAGGCCGAGCCCGCCCATGCCAAGGCCCCCCAAGTCCTCGAGTCTCCATGGACACGTTTTTCGAGGAAGGGCCCAAAGTGACATAGGAAACCCTAACACAAAGCGCCCTGGTCTTCTTTTTTACGAGGGAAACGCCCAAAGTGACACAGGAATCCCGACAAACATGGTGGCTCAAACTGGCTTCATGGTGAAACAAAACCACCTCAACAGTGGGAGGGGTGGATTAAAGTACCCTTCTGTTGGCGGACAGTGTCCTCATGGTGGTTTGAAGGACGCTTGCGGAGGTGTCAAGTACCATTTTGGTGGTTCAATGCACCCTGCGAATGGTTTAAAGTACCCTTATGGTGGTTCCGTGTAGCCTTCAAACTGTGGTTTCAAAGGTTTCCCACATCGACCCAAAAGAATAACACTTTGAAGACTCGACACATTCAATTGGAAAGAGACCGAGTGAAGAAAACAGCGACACCTCTGGGCTTCATGGAAGGCATGTTGAAACACTGGAGCAAACAGCTGGAAAAAAGCCGATTCAACCAAACAACTATTCACCGTGCCCTGATTTGTGAGTGGATTGCAAAGGATCCTTCCAAGAGGCAAACAGGATGGAACCCATAGTCAAAGAGAAGCAGTTGGGTGAAAGTAGCTGGCACAATTCCCAAATGCCAGTGTACATGCATCCCCTACTCATAAGGGGTGGGGGACTGGAAAATGCATATCTGCAGTTTTAAGGTCCCCCCTCGACATCCGGGAGCCAGGACATGACACAAAGCCTCCTTCAACCGCCAGAGCAGAAGGAATGAGTGCGCCTGTAAAGCTCAGCTTGGGCTGAAGGCCTATTTTGACATCGACCCACTTAGGTGTTTTTTGACCTACATCTTGGAGAGCGTTGTTGGGTATCGTTATCCAGGCAAGACCACAAATGGAGCACCTGTGTGATACACCCTTGCATGCCCTCGCATGACTCAAGTGATGGCTATTTACATATGAACCTGGTCGCAAATACCTCCGCGCTCAACACCCAGCCGCTCAGCATTCGCTATCCGCTGCACGCAAGTTCTGCGCAGTCCTTCAAATCCGCTTACGCCCAGCGGCCGGAAGCAGATTTCGTGGTGCGACAGCAGATTTCTGGCAAAAAAAACGCTGGCAAATCCGCTTACGCCCAGCGGCCGGTAGCAGATTTCCAAAACTGGCGTGAGCGGCTTTCGGCCGCTGGGCGGCTACCGGCCGCTGGGCGTAAGCGGATTTGCCAGCGTGCTAGCGGATTTCAGGCTGGAAATCTGCTGCCGCGCCACGACATCTGCTTCCGGCCGCTGGGCGTAAGCGGATTTGCACTTTTTCTTAACGCGATGGCTTAGCGATGCACTTGTCCCAAGTGCAACCAAAGGGTTCTCGAGACGCCACCGGGATGAAGGAATCCAACAAAGTAAAGAGATGCACAAGGAGTCAGGCGGCTGTTTTTTTCGCCCGCGCAAAAGAACTGCAATAAAATGCTAGACTTTCAACAAAGGTGGCGCCGGGGTGGCGCCAAGGATCACATGCTCTCACATACATGCTCTCACACTTGTTTCAACATGTGACCAGACATGATGGCAAAGCAAATCTCATGTAATCTCACGAATAACGTATGATGGCGCACTATAGATTCTACGTGGGGATAAAAATGCATAAAAATAAAATGCATAAGGTACCTAGGTCCCCCCCCTAAATGCATTTTCCTTTAATGGGGGATGTACATGCCATTCACTTACCCACCAAAATTCCGACCTTGTGCCCTCTACTTTCACCCCATAGTTGCTAGCCATAGCCATGGTGGGCTCCTGTGGCTACTGGTTGCCTTATTTCAAGCAAACATATTGTCAAGATTGCAGATGGTGTTAACATCACCGGGATTCAGCCACAACCCTAGGAAGCTCAAGCTGCGAATTGATCACAGCTTCCTGAGTCAAGCGTATGAACCCCGCATGTGTCAATGAACATGGCTTCCCAACCAAAAGACCTACATCATGGTCGTCTACCACCAAATCAACTCGCAATAACATGGGCAGAAGCATGGCTTTTGCAAATGCCCCGCCTCGCAAAGGGTGCGCATCTCCAGATGGTGCACACCTGGCGGCACGACCAGAAAATGAGCAGGGCTCACAACACATTCCGATTCCCGACCCAACTAGGATTTCCATCCCGGCGACTTTACTTACCTCACTCACAGTGGTGCCCAACTTTCCATAGGCAAACCAGTTAAACCAAGCCACATGGGTGCGTTGAAGGCCGAGCGAAGACCCGATGTCCCACAAACGCTCCCAGATCTTTTGGCACCAGGAAGCATTCCACTCCCAGACATCCGACGTGAGGACCGCATCACGATTGCTTCGAGGCTCTGACCACACATTCCTTGCGTCGATTCAAAACGAAACATTGGTGGGGGACGTTGGCTCGGAGCAGCTCACAGTCCACATGCGCCACTTGTTTAAAAAATGTCGTCTCGCGTCACACCGAGTGCAGCTTATGCTAAAAAAACACTTGTGGGCTCAAGCCTGCGCTCAAGTGGCTGCGAAAGCTGAAAAGACCGCACGATGCAAGCCCTTTGCCACGAGTGAGAAAAAAACAGATGGTATTGGCGTGAAGTTCTCAAACATCCGAGCCACAGTGCACTCAGAAACCGCACCAATAAGACTGCTTGCAAACAGCATACTTCCTGCAAACAGCAGACTGTTTCCAGAAGATTGACCCGGACGTGACACGAGACTGGACCCCGATGCAGGCAGGCAAAACATGGATTCCGCTGGCAAATGAGTAGAGCCGCTCGAATTCTCTCTTGCCGTCGCAATCGAGAGCGAATCCAATGCTACTGAGCATCATGATTCTCACGCGTTCACCGGCGAACGCCCAACCCAAAGCCGATTTGCTTCGCAATGGATCATAGCTTGTGATGGGCAAGCAGGTTGTAGGACATATTTGTTTTAATGGGAACTTGGCGCAATTTTCCGATCTGACATGACCCCAAAGGAAAAGCACGAGACCATGCGGGACCTGCCCGCTAGAAGCTGTTGATCTCCATTGAGTCACTTTTTAGTAGAAGGGTGACCCCAATAGTTGACAAGGTTGGGACATTGCTCTACCGAGTTCTGGACGAAAGGCTCCCTATCACAGTGGGGACATTCTCTCACTCCCACAAACTTCTTTGAGAATCAACCGTCCGTGCCCTTTGAGGCCTTGCAATTGACAAAGCGGTCACAGTAATTTAACTTTGGCATCACAAAAAGGAACAGCCAGTTTCCAAAACGCTCAGGGACCTACACATGACCCAACAAACCTCACGTAACAATTGCAAGGCAAAACCAGGCCAAATTCGGACCTATCCATTGAGGGGGGTCTTTGTGGTTGGTGGCGGCGGCAGTGCTGCTGCTGTTGTTTCTGGTGCTGCTGCTGGTGCTGGTGCTGGCGTGGTTTGTACGCTGGGCATTGCAACCGCCAGTCTCCCATGGTTGAAACACCTGGGAAGACCACTCCTGTGCCGATTTTTGGAAAATCAAAGGGACACTTTTGAACAAGTTGGAACCCAAAGCCATTAGCAAGGAACTCGCGCGTGAAGAGAACCGAAATCAACCAAACAAAGAATAGACTAAACACACGTGCGCAGAGCAGTGCACAATAGGTAAGTTCTTCCAACTCTTCCATTCCATCAATCGCACATAGGCCTTAGGGATCCGCCCCAATACCTAATGGTGGCATTTGACACTGGTCCTTCTTTCCATCTAAAACAGCAACAAGGAGCCCCTGTATCTCAAACATCTTGAGCTCACATCTCGGGTACCCCTTGGTGCGTGGATTGGATTGGTGGCTTGGGGGTTTGAACCCCACTGCCTTTTGAAGCCTACCTAACGTCCAAACCAGTAAACCAAACCTTCAGGGTAAGGTAAACATTTGGTTCCACTTAGATCTGGAAAAAAGGCAGAAATTGGTCGCACGTCAAGGGTCAGACATCAGCTCAACCACCAGGTTGCGGTGCCATGCAATTCGCAATCCCTTCGGCCGCCGTACATAGCTGCAAAAAAACGCCGTTGGGATCGACCCCAAGGCGAGAAAATCACGCCTCATAGTTTAAAAAATTGGGGCCCTGAGCCTTTGCGCACACATCTCCACATGATACAAGCGGGTGGACACAACTCGGTAGCTCCTTCATCCTTGCTCAAATTCAAGATGTTTCTTGGAATATGTTATAAATAGCACCAAATTGCTCCTCTCCCCAATGCCAGCGAAGAACCAATGTCCCAAGGACTCCTGAAACGTGGCCACGGTTAGGCTGTCCTTCGACGTCTCTCATAGCCAATGTGTTGATCCGACCTATACAACCCCACTAAACACGCACTGATGATTGAAATCACCAGAAGGGGACATGAACGCGTTAAAAAAAGGAAGAATGTGGCCGGCCTTGACGCCACATAGGGACACAGGTTTGGTTGCTTATCTCCAACCCTTCAAAATCCAGTAATGGAACTTTGGGCCTCTCTGAAAGTTAGTTTCCCAAGGTTAGTTTAGAGGACTTGAAGTAAGTGGTTCAAACGAAGGCAACATAGCCGCTCTAGGCCTCTATGATTGACACGCTCGCGTTGCGTTGAAGATGTGAGCATGTGAGGCGAGCATATGCTAAAAGCGTGCATTGATGAATTCAGGATGAGCAGGATCTAGCTCGTTTCCTGGTCAAAAACATATTCACTTGGGCTTTTTGAATCGTGCCTGCCACTCCTCCGCGTTATAAGCAAAGACACGGAGGACGTTGAATGTGCCTTCGCTTGATATTTTTGAGCCCCAAGATTCGCCGTCGCCGCTCGGTATCTGGTCGAAGTCCTGTTTCAAAAGTTGCGGCTCTGGTTCCAGCCACATGCCACCACAAAACGAAGACAAAAAACATAATAACACGTTCAAAAGATCGAAAGTTTGGTTCTGGACAAGTCAGACGTCCTCCAACGCAAAGCTAAGGTGCTCGATGTCGATGCCTTGCTCTTGGTCAACTATGCAGTCCTTTGGTCGAGGGACACTGGCTGCACAACCCATGGCGCCACGGCACGTGCCGTTGCACAAGTCACGCGACGTGTCTTGGGCCATTCGCTTCGATTCCATCGCATAAACACGCCCTGGATCCATGGATCCAGAACATCTCACTCACTGTCAAAACTAGGGGCCTTCCAAAATGGCTGGTGTCATGTTGGCTCCTTCTAGACTTGCGCGCAGGGTCAAGCAGTTGGGCCAACACAATACAGTATAATACCAACCTTTGATGACGAACTGGGGGCTTTCCCTCTACCAACGAAGCATGGACCCCTAGAAGATGACGCTGGTTATAACCTTTGAAACTGGCCATTCGGAGGCTGCAAAACGGGATTCGTCGCACCATTAGGGAATTCCCAAAGTCACAAAGTCATAGGCATGGGAGTACCACTTTGCTATTGCAAATGTTTTGACACGAACCCTTTGACGGAATGATGCTGAGGCGAAGGTGACAAATCTTGGGAGTCGGGAGCCGCAAAGAGCATATGGATAAAGGGGAAAATGAATTGGCAGTTTTGCCCTCATGAGTTCTTCCCCTTGGTCTTGAGATGAACCCTAGGTGAGCGAAAACTAGTTTGGTGAATTGTCCTTTCAATCCCGATTGATTGGTAGCACCCGATTTTTCCTTTCTGTTTGCCCTTTTCACCATCACGCAGTGCCAATGGATGTCTTCTTGGTCGGTTTTTGCCATGAGGGCAGCAAGCACCAAGTTGTGACTGGGAAGGTGTGCGAGGTCGAGGGAGCCACTTTCCTGGTTCCGCTATGTTCAAGTGCATAGAAATCTATTCTATGCATTTCAAGAGTCGGAACCACCTCCAATATGGGTGGTGGACATGAGTCCCCACCCAAATGGTGAACATCAAAATAGGTGGTAAATGGCTGTTTCTCCACCCCAAAATAGCTCGCCATAGGTTTTGCACCCCATGGCCATATCAGAGCTATTCTTCATACCCATATTTTGCCCACTAAGTACCAAGAGGTATTGGGTTGTGAGCTGGGTTGCTAAACGCGACCTTGGCCCAACAGGACTACCAAAGTGATTGAAGGTGTCAAATGCAAAAGGCAAATGCGAGGCGCATGCTGTAACGCTGTCCATGGCAGACATAGATTCATTGTCAGTGTCATTTGCGTGCTTCCAGTCACTGCTAGTTACGTTGTAGGTCAGGTCTTGCGCAGTCGTGCAATATGTTTGCACGCAAATTCTGGAGAATGATGCATTTGCAAGCCTCAACCGGCACTAGATGTTGGCCGCGGGTTGTACTTCTGGTATGTTTTGTGTTTTAATCAAGTGAAAAGCATGTGGCAAGTGACTAGAATACTTTCAGTGCAGAGAATTATCCCAGGGACAAGTGGATATAAAGTTCCCGTGTATGTTCGCTTGCCCCCCGAATGGTATGCGGGCCCAGGCCCCCTCCCGGTCTGGCAGAGCTAACCGGAGTCACCCTTCAAACTCCAAACCCAAACTAAACTCACTCTAGGCTAACCAACCCTCAACCAATAACAAACCCTCACCCAGCACTCCAAGAAAAGGATGGGGATTCCGTCACCATTCGAGGCAGCGACAGTGTCAGCCTGTTGCGAGCATGCTGAAATGGCAATGTGTGGCAAAATGAAGGGGCATTCGCTCAGAAGGTGCTTACGCATACCGTAAAAGGACACAACGAGGAAATCAGTGGCAATGAACGGGGCTAAAAAGGGGCTGTGCAGGGGCCATCCAGGACATACGCTGAACTCTCACATCTCCGGCATCTCTGCGTGAAATACATCAACTCGCCAATCAAAATCTGATACCGAAACAAAAAGAACCTTCACCGGGCCCGAACTACCATTTTTGGAGGTTGCCCAATCTGACCCTACATTTCTTTGACACCAAACGGCTTCTAGGTGCATCTTCACTTTTGCCCAGAGGGTCCAAGTACCTCCTGAGGATGGCTTTTGGGGGATAGAAACGGGTCTAAGTACCTCCTTAAACGGTACTTGGCTGTGGGTCAAAAATACGTGCCCAAAATGGAAGCCTGGTAAATGGAAACATGGACAACAACCTGCGGTCCATATCCTGGCTTAATTTTGACCCATACCCACTTGCACCCTCTAGGCTGGGACACCTTCGGGCGCCCGTTTTCTTCAGTTCGGCCGGGGGACCCCAGGGGCATCTTCCGCGCCTCGGGCGCCCGCGGTGCAGTTCCAACAGGTCACGGTGCCGTGGCTGATCAGCGTGCCTCACGGGCTGCTTTGGTTGATCCCCCAACCGGTTTTGTTGGGGCCCAAAACTAAGAAGCCTCACCGCAGATTTTTCTTAGCCCCAACCGTTTCTTGGGGCCCAAAACAAACAAGCTGGGCCACAAAGCAAGTTGGGGGTTGCAAAAGCAGGTTGCCCAGGTGCAGATATGACCGATGTTGCTTTTTGTTTGCTGAGCTATGAGCCCTACCATGATCACGCCGTCATTGTTAGACCGCATGACCATCACACCAACGTCGGGTCAGGTCGCCTGAAGGGTTGGTCACAAAACAGGGTGTCGCAAATGAGCAAAACGCATCAAGATGAATGGATGCATGACGAATTCCCAACAGCTTGCCTCATAGGGTCCCATGTTCCCTCCTTCAGTTCCCCCGAGACCCTGGGTAAAAAACAACTCGGGACTCCGGTTGGAATTGATGCCTTTTCTGGAGAAGAACCCACCAAATAAACAGGGCTTTATCCAGCCCAGAATCTTGATTTCGTATCTGCATAATCGACTATTGTTCCCAACAAAGGGAAACCCCACAGAGAAACTGCTATGAGCGACCCCAGGTAAAAGGGAAGTAAAGGAAGTTATAAGATAGAAATTACGGAATCCCCAGTCAAAGGCCCTTGATCACTTCCTCCTTTTACCCCGGAGTGAGCTCAGCTCAAGTGAGCAACCGGATCCGTGCCTACTTTGGTGATGCGGCTGACCCCGAAGAGGTAGGCCACGACCTGCCACTTGCTGTGGGAGGCGGTCACATCCAGGCTCAGCGTGGGCGTGCCGCAGAGACGCCTAGGGAGCTGTTCGGACCCCGTCAGGCCCTGACCGGGATGGGTTTAAGCAACCTCCCTTTGGTCAAAGGCTGGTCGTTTTCCTCTCAACATGAAAGTGCCCGGACTCTTTTGAAAGACTGCTGGCCATGGGTGGGAGTGATAGTTCAAACTCGAGAGTAATGGCTTGGAAACGTGGGCACCAGATTGTCCCATCGCTTTGCAAGCTTGCTATGTTTTGTGCAGTACGGTCAATGAAGCTGGGCGCCATGCTCGCAACCGGCATTCATCGAGAAACCCCCCTGCTCGTTTACACGGTCATGACATGAACTTGGAGCAACCAAGCTTTGCACCAGTCGACGCAACCAATACTGAATTCCTCCTTTTGCACAAAGCTTTGGATGCTCTTACACCTTGCACACAGTAATTCCAACTACAACTGCGTGCATGGCATAGTGTGTCAGCTCTCGCTTCCATTCGCTTTAACTAAACATAATCATGCGTTATGTTGGGCTCGAATCACATATATTGAAATCACGCCTGGGGGGTCCAGCTGCTTTTTTTAGAAATCACGCCTGGGGGTCCCTGTGTGTTTTCTTTGAAGTCACGCCTGGCGGGTCCCGGTGTTTGTCTTTTTGAAATCACGCCTGGGGGGTCCCAGTTTTATTTTTGTTGAAATCACGTCTGGGGTCCCGGTGCTTGTTTTGTTGCATTCATGCCTGTGGGCCGGGGCGTTTTTTCTTTTGAATTCACGCCTTGGGGCTCCTTTTCTTGTTTATTGAATTCACGCCTTAGCTTTTTCTTTTGAACTCACCCCTGAGGGGCTCAGGCGCGATGTAAAAAAGAAGACACTAGGACCCCCAGGCGTGAGTTCAAGAGAAAAAACACCAGCCCAGAGGCGTCATTAAAAACAAAAAACAAAAAACGGAGCCCCAAGGCGTGAAAGCAAAAACGCCTCGGCCCACAGGCATGAATGCAACAAAACAAGCACCGGGACCCCAGGCGTGATTTAACAAACAAAGAACACCGAAACCCCCCAGCCGTGATTTCAAAAAAACAAACACTGGGACCCCCCCAGCGTGACTTCAAAGAAAACACACCGGGACCTCCCAGGCGTGATTAAAAAAAAAAACTGGACCCCAGGTGTAATTTCAAGAAATGTGATTCCAAACAGAACATGACCCCCCAGGCGTGATTTCAATCAAAAAAGAACGGGACCGAGGTGTTTTGTTCTTTGCAACCACCAGTCGCTCACTCACCTACTTGCTCGCTTCGTCTGTGAGAAATACAAATCATGATACTCCCAAATGAGGAATTTCAAAATAAACACGGCTGGTGTAAATTCAAAGAAAGAACACCGGTTCCATGGCATACTGTGTCAGCTCTCGCTTCCATTCGCTTTAACTAAACATAATCATGCGTTGTTTTGGCGTATATTTGTTGTACAACGTCAAAAGAGATCCAGCATACGTACGTCATTCAAATCACCTGGAACGCCAAAACACTTCATGAAAACAACTCCCTGGCTGTAAAAATAGCTTGCAGCTCCAATTGCCAGTCCCAAACTGCAAACAGGAAAAATGCCACCATGGGAACCACTGCCTAGTTGCCTTACCGTTCATCTCTATGTGCATATATGATACATGTACACGCACACATGTGTGGCAAATCCAATGGCACTGAGAACTGAACTATGGGAGCTCTGGCAAATCAAATGGCCTGCGCGTCACCAACCCCAATTAAATGTTCCCTATGCACGCAGCCAGCATCGTAGGCCAGGTCGCACACCTTCTTGTCAGGTCAACAAACGTGTGTGTGTGTAACAATAATGTATACGTATTTATAGTATACATGTTTATTATATATATGTGTATCTGTGGCCTAACAATAAAGAGGAATTGCCGCAGCCAGCTGGCGGATTTCGACCAAGTCATGTTCGCGCACGCTAAGACTTAGAAATAACCAAAAACATAAGCCGTAAACACATCCGGTAAGTTCTGACTCAAATCTTTGCTTGCGTTCTGCACATACATATGTGAGTGTGTGCATGCTTGCTTGTGTGCTCGCTTGCTTGTGTGCTTTTGCTTGCTCCTTGCATGCTTGCTTGGTTAATCGCCTTCTTGCTTGTTGCTTTCTGCGTTTCTGTGAAGCTTTGCTTGTTTGATTGTTTGGTTGATTGGTTGAGTGGCCAGTTCGGTGGCTGATATATCACGAATTCTTCTTAGACAGGTAGGTGGGTGGCTAGGCAGGTAGGCAGGTACGTTGGCTGGTTGGGGGTTGGTTGAATGGATAGATGGATGATTGATTTTTGTTTGTTTGTGTGTTTGTTTGTTCTTGTTTGTTTGTTCTGTTTGTTTGTTTGTATTGTTTGTTTGCTTGTTGGTTTGTTTGTTTGTTTGTTTGCTTGTTTGTTTGTTTCTTTGTTTTCTTTTGTTTCTCTGCTTATTTGCTCTGCTTGATTATCTTATTTTTCTTGCTTGTTCGTTTGTTTCTGTGTTTGTATGTTTGTATGGGAGATACGGGAACTCATTCTTTACTTAATTTCAAAGGAACCCGCGAGTCCCCCAGCTAGGCATTCCTCAAATGCCACGCGCAAAGGAAGCGACGGGATGCCTGGAAGCTTCCGGCCAAGCTGCGAATGGGAGACCTCCTTGTAGTACCAAATGGCGTGGTCCCTTGGTCATGACATGTGTTTCTGGCAGGCAGGCAGCAAAAAGTGGTTCTGGATGGAGATCCGTTTCGCAGTGATGGATGAAGCCTAGTGGGAGAAACCACCCACCAACTGGGACTTTGCCCATCCACAGTCGTATTCCTCTTGCAGTCCCTTAGTCCCTTGGTTGTCAAGGGCCGAATCCCGGGCGGGGTGATCTTTGGCACGCCGAGAGCGAAATCAGGCCTACGTCGAGAATAGGTCCCTTTTGGTAGCCTTCCACCCTTCGGGGTGCCCTTGACAAGAGGAGACAGGAAAAGCCAGAATTGATGCTGCTTACACAAAATGCTTGAATGCAACTTCCCAAGCCGGTCCAACAGCCCTACCCCCCTGGACAGCTGATGCAGCCGGCAAAAAACCGATCTCACTTTGCATTTCATGCGCTTCTGAAAGGGGAAGGTCTTGGCCCATTGAACCCTAAACGCCTCTTAAAGGTGATGTTCAAGAAGCATGAGGATCCCAGTGATATCAATCACAGGCGACTCTTGGCTTCTGTCCAGGTTCCCAATGCGCGCACAGAACAACTGCTGTCTTCCAATCACAAGGGAAGACATTGGACCATTGGTGCAGGGAAGCCAAAGGAAACTCCTTCAACAAGCTTTGCCACAAACGAGTCTTCATCTAGTGGAGGCGGCCAAAGGAGCAAACCTGTCAACCGGATAGGTAGTATACGTGCCATAGCCCATAGTCATGGGATCGTGAGGTATCTCAAAACCACATTTTGCCATGACAACAGTCCCTCCCACCAAACAACATGGAAGCGCAAAGCCGCTCAACCACCAGAATAATAGTCTGCCAAAGTAAGCCGGCACGCCAGCCCATGTTTGTTTGGTGCTCACGATATCTATTTGGGAACCCACCAAGCCAGAACGAGCTTTGGAGGGTGACATTGAATATGACAGGTGCCTCAGTTGGAAAACACTCGAATCCCTCAACTACCCCCCCAAGTTTTGCCCTGCTTGGTGCCAGGGAAATTCTTGAGCCGCATATATTCACTGACCCACTTTGGGCAGCCCTTGTTTGGTGATTCAAGCAATCCCAAAGGCAAAGCGGACCAGAATGACCAACGCTCAGCTTACCTAGGATTCGACACTTTTATTTGTTCATCATTTTGGGCAATGGCAAAAATGTGGGTGTGGACTTTAATGGGGACCCCTTTTGTGGAATCTAGTGGATGAATGTCCACCTACCAGTCCCCCAAAGAACATCATAGCCACGTACCCAAAAGACCGGGCATTTCATGAAAAGCGTTTGACCCCCCCCAAAAAAAAATAATAATCACCGTTCTAAAAAACAACAAAAACCCAACTCAATAACAACTGCGCCACTCTTACGAAAAAATAGATTAAACAACATATATCCCAAGTTCCTTCCACTCAACGGAAACAAGAACTCCCAACTCGACTCCTCCGTGCCGCCTGGAGCTGGACCCCAGCTTGGAGCGGATGCGCTTGTCCACGAAGACCTGCAGCGCCTCCCCCACGATGGGGAAGCCTCGCGCGCGAGCCGAGTGCCGGCCGAGTGCCCTGAGCGCTTGAGGGAAGTCGTGGGATTCTTATCTCTAGTGATCAGTCTCGAATGAGAAAGTCGAGTAGAATAGCTTCAATGTTCCACAGAGAATCCTGTACTGCGTGTTCATACTCTTCTAGTCTTATCATGAGACAAACTGTCTGGGGGAGGCGAGTTTCTTGGAAACACAGCTTATCTCTAGGGGGCATGACTCGGTTGCTTTCTGCTCCCCCGCTAAAAGCTTAACTTTTAGCAATTTGATGGAAAACGGAAAACGCATAGTTCGTGACACAATAGTTCTAGGGGTACCTTCCAGTTCCATTCTTTCCAGGCATCCTTCTTTCTAAGAAACCTCCCAAAGACCCAGGGGGAAACAGCTGGTTTTGAAAAGAACGATGGTTGAAAAGAATGGGGAATCAACCCCTAGATTATCATGAGACAAACTGTCTTGGGGGAGACGAGTTTCTTGGAAACATATACCGGACAACACCTGGCTTCCCCTCTACTTAGTACATGTCTGCTTGAAACTGTGTTTTCGCCCTGTGCAGGTGATGTGCGTGCAACCATGTTATGCAAGACCCAGAGGCAAACATACCTAACTGCCTTCATATCTAGAAGCATTGGGCACTGCTGCACTACTTTAGCCACATCAATCGCATAATCACAGATGACCTAGGGTGGCATGTTAGGGAGCGGTAGGGGAGACCAACCGAACACAAACAGGGATCCTTACATTATACACCTGAACCTTGCCTTGTAAATGGTGGTTCCCGTGGAAAAAGCCATGTTTCGAATGGGCAAAATGTATCTTTTAAGGAGCCCTGACAAAGGGTCCCTGTTGAGGGATCCTTTCTCATGGTCTAAAGAAGCCCGGCCTGCGCTAATCCCAGTGGACTTCCCGAAGGTGATCGTCTCGAAGTCGGAGGGCGAGGGCGCTGCGGCGCCCAGGGCGCCATGTTGGTTCGCCCCACGGGGCGCAGGCGCCTAGCGCGCGCTGAGGTGGGAGGGGGGGGAACGGGGGCAGGGTGGGTTGCATTTGTTTGCAAACAAGCAGCAGCAGGAGCAGGATGAGCAGGAGAAAGAAGCAGGAGCAGGAACTTAGACGACGCGTTGCAAATTCAACGTGGCCTCCCCCGGCACCTACGGCCCTCGGGCAATACTTCCCAATCAAGCCAAATGCTTCAGCACAAGTCCATGCTCTTCGCACTGCTCCATCAATACCGACAGGTCACACTGGATCACCTTGCAACACCGCATGGAACAAACCGATCCAAATGCCCCAACATTGTCCGAAGCATACTGCAAATCACAATGGGGCGCCAAGAATCGATTCGACCTCCCGGAGTACCTTCCCCCCACCTAATTCAAAGATTTCCTCAAAATTGATACGACTACAGTTGTTAACTGTACGTGGTGATTACACCGCATGTATCTCTTTTTACCCCTCATTCATCCCATTCTACCCCTCATGTCTTTCTCATGTACAAAGTCTCTTGCCGCTTTTGTTGGGTGTCCCCGAGCAACACTGGCTCGCCGACTCCCCGCGTTCCTCAAATCAAAAACCCCATCCCATCCCGGCCAGCAGCGTGGGCAGCACTCGGGCGCTGGGCCACAGGTCGAAGGTCTCACGCACCTGGCGCTTTTGGCGACTCTTTTTGGATCCCAAAACGACGGGACTCCTCTTCTCGTCCTTCAGTTGACAATAGACCCGTCTCGGTGACCGTTAAGCCAGTGAAGAGGAACCCATCCAAACCTTAAGGTAAATATGCATGGTAGCCTACTCTCTTAAAAAAAAGCATGCTGATTCGGTAACCAAGAAACATGCCATTGCAAAATGAAAGGGCAACCTACTGGAGAAATGTGAGTCTCCAAATGAAAACTGGTTTCCTTTTGAATTCCTCCAAAGCATGGTTCAGGCCAATTTGGGGCAAGATATGAAGAGGCCCCAGCCAAATGTCCAAGAAGAAAAGTTATTTCAGCCAAACTTGACCCAATTTGGTCGGACCCCGAAACGTGATCAGCTTGTTTCTTGGCAGCGAGAGACCATGGTGAAAATCAGTCCAGCCAAAGAATCGCCAAGTAGGCCCTTTGGGCTTGTAGAGCGAAGTCGGAAACCCGCAGAACCCACAAAAGGGAGAGGATTACTCTCCCCAAGGCTATCATGGATCTAAGTCTTAGTGGGGATCCAAGACTCGAGGACAAAAGGGTGCCGCCAGAACCTGAATATAATTTTTGATTGAAACTTGGTGGACAGTCACACAGCATTTTGAGGCTATTCCCCATTGAACCATGTAGGCAGGTTGGCCGCGCCGAAAACCAATTGGCGTTTGGCTCTACCAACATGCTGCAAAGTTAGAAACCAATCACCTGCAAAAATGGTCTAGAAGGGTTTTGCGTACGTGTCAAAAAACGGAAGCCTAAACATGCTGGTGGTCTGCTTGATTCCCCTGCAAGCGAAGCTTCAAAAGGGTACAAACTCCAAACGAAGAAACAAACAAACAAACAAACAAACAAATACGCAAGCACGCAAACAGACAAACACACAAACACACAATCAAGCAAACAAACAAATGAAAAAACAAACAAACTATCAATCACACAAACAAACGAGACATACGAACAGCCAACCAACCAAACAAACACACAAACATTCAAAGAAACAAACACAAAAACAAACAAACACGCAAACATTCAAGACAACAAACACAAAAACAAACAACCACGCAAACAGTGAAACAAAAAGAACAAAGAAATGAACAAACAAACAAATCAACAACCAACGAAAAACACTACGAAAAAACAACCAAACAACCAACCAACCAACCAACCAACCAAACAAACAAACAAACAAACAAAAAAAACAAACAAACAAAAAAAACAAACAAACAAACAACCCACCAAAAAAAAAACAAAAAACAAGCAACCAACCAAGCAAATACACAAAAAACAAAAAAACACCAAACAAACACATCAACAAACACACACTCAATCAAACCAACAAACAAATAAACACTCAAACAAACAAACAAACATACAAACATACAAACAAGCAACCAAACAAACACACAAACAAATCACCAAACAAAGAAGCAAACAGACAAGCAACAATTACACAATCAGACAAACAATCAAACGAACAAACACATCAACAAACATACAAACAAGCAAACAAACAAGCAAACAGACAAGCAACAATTACACAATCAGACAAACAAACAAGTAAACTGACAAGCACCAATTACACAATCAGACAAACAACCAAACGAACAAACAAAACAACAAACAAACAAACACACAAACACAGAAACAAAGAACCACACAATCAAGCAAACAAACAATCAACCAAGCACACAAAAAGACAAACAAGCAGACAAACAAACAAACAAGCAAGCAAACAAACAAACAAACAAACACTCAAACAAACAAACAAACAAACAAACAAACAAACACTCAAAAAACAAACACACAACCAACCAAACACACAAACAAACAAACAAACAAACAATCATACACTCAAACAAACAAACAAACAAACATACACTCAAACAAACAAACAAACACGCAAACAAACAAACAAACAAACAAACAAACACACAAAGAACAAACAAACAAACATACAAACAAGCAACCAACCAAACAAATACTCAAACAAATCACCAAACAAGCAACCACCGAAACAAATACAGAGAAAAGTGACCACACAAACAAATCAACAAACAAACAAACAAACAGACAAGCAACAATTACACAATCAGACAAACAATCAAACAAACAAACAAACAAACAAATGAACAAGCACACAAGCAAACAGACAAGGAACAATGACACAATCAGACAAACAGACAAACGCACCAACAAATCACCAAACAAACAAATCAAGAAACAAACAAACAAACAAACAAACAAACAAACAGGCAAGCAAAAACTAGACAAGCAGACAAACAATCAAACGAACAAACAAACGAATGAACAAACAAACAAACACAAGCAAAGAAACAAACAAACAATCAATCAAACAAACAATCAACCAATCACACAAACAAACAATCAAACAAACAAGCAAACAAGCAAACAAACAAACAATCAATCAAACAAACAAACAAACAAACACACAAACAAATACACATACAAACAAACAAACAAACACTCAAATAAACAAACACACAACCAACCAAACGCACAAACAAACAAACAAACAAACAAACAAGCAACCATTACACAATCAGACAATCAGACAAACAATCAAACGAACAAACAAATCAACAAACATACAAACAAGCAAACAAACAAGCAAACAGACAAGCACCAATTACACAATCAGACAAACAATCAAACGAACAAACAAATCAACAAACAAACAAGTAAACAGACAAGCACCAAATACACAATCAGACAAACAACCAAACGAACAAACAAAACAACAAACAAACAAACACACAAACACAGAAACAAACAAACAAACAATCAAGCAAACAAACAATCAACCAAGCACACAAACAAACAAACAAACAAACAAGCAAACAAACAAACAAACAAACAAGCAAGCAAACAAACAAACAAACACTCAAACAAACAAACAAACAAGCAGACAAACAAACAAACACTCAAATACACAAACACACAACCAACCAAACACACAAACAAACAAACAAACAATCATACACTCAAACAAACAAACAAAAAAACAGACAAGCAACAATTACACAATCAGACAAACAATCAAACAAACAAACAAATCAACAAACAAATGAACAAACAAACAAGCAAACAGACAAACAGACAAGCAACAACTACACAATCAGACAAACAATCAAACGAACAAACAAACAAACAAACAAACAAATGAACAAACAAACAAGCAAACAGACAAACAGACAAGCAACAATTCCACAATCAAACAAACAATCAAACAAACAAACAAATCAACAAACAAACAAATGAACAAACAACACATGACACGGACACACACTCGAAATCAATCAGATTCTGCTTACACCCCCGGCTGTTCCGAGGCGCTTTCCAGTTGGAGCGCAGCTGCATCTCCAAGAGCGGAGGCGCCGGGAGACTGGTGTCGTTCAGGAGGTGAGTGGCCAGCCACTTCCTGAGGGATCCCAACAGCCGCAATCCAAACTCGGCAGGCAGGTGTCTATGTGGGTTTTGACGCATGGCCCCAGCAAACTGAACCGCAGCTCCACAAAACCCGGTTGGTTTCTGCTCCCCTGCTAAAAGTTTTAACTTTTTAGTGGTTTAATGGAAAACCCTTTTTTTCTTAATGGAAAACCCATGAGTTGGCAAAAAAGTTAAAGTCCTAACATCCAATCAAAACTACAAGGGTGCAATAAGCCTCACCGAGTGTTTTTTTGAGCGGTCTGGAAAATAAAAAGGAACATGCTAGTCCCGTGGTGGTTTCCTTGTGGCAAAATGGAGGTCCCTCCTAACACATAGAATATTCAGGGCTCATGGAGTGTAGAACACGTGGTGATCCCCAGTAAAGTCCAACCTAGGCAAAGAAAGGGAGTGTCCGCCTTAAACGTCCCAGTGGCTTCGCTTCCTGCCACACGTGGCTGGGCAGCCCGAAGAGCCCCGGGATCTCCGCGCTGGCGTGGATGCCCTGGTTCAGCAGCACTCGCTTTGGACCCTGATACCGCCTGAGCCGCGTGAGCGTCTGCCCGGTTCGGTGTGAGGTTCCTTGCGGGTTTCCGTAGAAGCCGAAAAAAGTGGGAAGTCACTTTTAGATATCTTGGCCCATTCTTGTTTTAAGTTGGTCTCTTTGTCACAGTGCAGAATCCCTCAAGTCTCTTTCCCCCCCCCCGAATCACACCGATCCGCTCGGCCCCATGACAGCAAAGTACGCAAGCGCAAGCACTGGTCAACTTGTGTGTTGTTGTTCAAGGGGAGCCAAAGGGACATCCACCAAGTTAGGAGGTGCGCATGAAATGTCGAGACCAGGAGGACCCCTCCGTTCTTTCGACCCCAACCCATAAGTTTTAGATTGCCCATAATTAATCCAAGAGGTTGACATGATGGTGGAATGATTAAATTGAGGCCAAGAAAACCAGGATTGTTGGATAAGATGGAGCAAGGGTGCCTAGCAACATGAGCTGAGCAGCCCGGGTCTGAAAGCTGAAAGGACCCGAGGAACAAGTGACCTGTTTGGAGAGTACTTGCCTCCTTCCGACTGACATGGCAGCTGACAACAGGGGAAGTTGATCGGCTAAGTACTGTGCTATGTTGGTAGGAAGGGGTGGAGCCTTTAGGTCTCCCCAATTGGAGGCGCCACGTGGGCGGTTGGTACTGGCCCCAGGCAGCTAATCTCAATTTGCCCGGATTTCCGGGAGTCTGCAACATCTGACCATGCTCACGGCCTGCGTCCCCTGCAAACACGATCAGACTTTCCCAGGAGCGAAGCTCCTGTCGGGTTTCGAGCCGCCAGCAGAGCCTGGTTTACCACATGGAAGGGTTGGGATCCGACTGGGGTTGCAGATCCAATAAACTGGGGAAAGAGCCAAAGGTATCGGCTCTGACCCACATAGCAAAACCGTATACGCCAGGGGAAACCAGAGCCTCAAGCTGCAGACTCAGCTACCTGCGAGCCTGCGAAAAGAAGACTGTCGGGTATGGCAAACTGAAGGATCTCCAAAGAGGAGGAACTTATATATGACGTGGACCTGCTTTTGCAAGTGGGGTCTATTGTAAGGAGGGGAGGGAGGGAAGATCACAGTGAAGAAGGTCCAACAATGAAAGGCCAGGCATTGGCGAGCCTTGAGCTCTGTAGGGTCGGGTGAAAGCAGACAGGAGTCTCCGGTAAGGCTGAGCACCAGCAATGGCCGGGAATCCTAAAATGGATGTGTTCTCCTTTCAGGGTACCATCCCGGAGGATTTATCTGAAGGGCTTTGAAAACTGTCCTTGAAACGCGCGAGGAGCAGTGTGATATGTCTCACTCCAGTATATATATATATATATATTTATATAATGTGTGCATGGAAGTATATACAACGTCATCTAGCGCTGTATCACATGGTTGATCATATTCAAGCAATAAGATCAGCATCAGTCAAGAAGCCAAGGTGGCTTCGGCCCTCTTTGTCCCTGCCCCCTTCAGAGGCGCCACCCAATACAACTGAAGGGCCGAAAACTGTCTTACATCACGCTAAAAAACAAACAAAGACCACCATAGCTTTAACTTCACACTAAAAATCAAACGAAGACCAACATACTTTAAACCCCTTCCCGCAGTTTAGGTAAGCCAAACACGCAGAGAAACACATTTGGCCCATTCGGCCTATTCGGCTGTGCGAGCCCGCTGCTTTCAAGGCGCTCCAAAAAGTGGAGGGCATCTTGCGGGTAGAAAATCCGGTCCTGCGCCACGACTGGTGCTCAAAGATCTGATCGCAAGGGTAACAACTTGGTCGGTAAAGGAAACCCAAAGACACAAAAAACAATTGACCCTTGGAAATTCATGAGGCAATCATGACATTCGGCTGTGTGCACGCATGGGATCCCTGCAAACAAAACAAACTGCCCGGGTTTTGTCAACGGGAGAACGGCTGCTTAATTATAGGGTTCCATTGTTTGACAAGGTAGACCTTTTAGACCCAGGGGTTTCCCTAAGAAAAGTAACCATCGCTGGGTTTAAGTGGATGGTTTAGTGCCCGCCTCAAAGTTGTTGGACATGAAGATCGGAACTTTCCGAGCCTGGCAAAAGCAATTCACAACCCGCACAGCTGATGCATCCGTGAGAAAAGATACGGTCTCAAAAGAAGTCCGGCCCCATGCTTGGTGGATATTTGAAGTTGTAAATGGAAGCCAAAGGAAGTCAACCACAATGGCGATTGCATCAACACATGACATGTACGACACAAGGTTGGTAATCTTCCACGGCAACGTTGACTTCTTCCGGCTAAACAGTTGTGGGTCAACGCTGACCTCAAATTTGCTTTGGAGCACCTGCAACTGTCATGCAACAAATATAGTAGAGAGGTGTGGACGGCAGATACTCTGCGGGAATAGCTCGCGGAGGATGCTGAAAATTAAGCATCCCGACGCAGTCAAATGCAACCGAGCATCCACGTACGTCTCCAAGCCAAGCCGAACGCTGCTGAAAGCCGAAAGCATGCAACCAGTGCCAACCCGATGCCTCTTGACTAAAACCTTCCACACTCCATGGCCTTTTAGGGCCCCACCCTTCTTGCCCAGAAAGGTTCGCGTTCGTTCGCCTTTACGGGGCACCCTCCAAACAAACAGAAACCCACGCAAATGCCACTGAACGACCGGGCTATGCTTGGTGCGCAACGGGACAGATTCGTCCGATTGTTTAGTTCCCAACGTGTCGATTGAGACCTTTGGCTCAGCCTACGGCAAACAAACAATGCCAGGAAGCCGTTTCTGAGATGACCCAGAAAGCGTACTTTCATGCCAAGAGCTACCGGAAGGGAATCGTGTTCATGCATATTTTACCCGTTGTTCACGCCCGGACTTTGCTCCAAGAGACTTTAATGGACACCGAGTTGATCTTTTCTGAGTCCATTCAAGTATCGAACACACCTCGGTGGGTTTGAAGGGAACCCAAGGGGGCCCAAAAGTCAAATGAGAACTGAACATGCCCCACTTTGGGTTTTTGCCACACTTTACGTGTTTCCTTTTGCTTCCCCTTCAAACAAAAAAAACTCATATTTTTTCGGGAAGATGCGGGTTTTGGCCACCAATTCCTCCATTCCCCTCCCGTTTTTGGGTCGCCAGGGCATCGAGCATTGCGCCTGCAGCTTGGCGAGGTCCACGGACCGGAGCTGCGCGAAGGGCAGGAAGCCCGAGGGGTCCCCGGCCAGGAGCTGCTTGTAGATCTGAGGGAAGCTTCGGATGACCACATGGCCATGACCCAAGTCAGTGAACATCCGATTCAATCCTACCACTAAAATAGGATTTAAAATGGGTGGTGAATTCACCTACCCCAAAATGGGATCCCATTGGTGTTGACCCACAGCCACATGGCTGCGTCATTCAATTGAATAGTCCTTTCAACACCAAGAACCATGCCTTCCAGGGTCCAGACCTTTCAGGCTCCACGTTTTTGGAGCAATTTTACGAACGACCTATGCCCTTGTTTGGGCAAGCCCTGTGGGTCTGTATGTTTCCCCTTTTTCCCAATGTTTTGGGTGGTTTCGCCGTCACCTGTTTGTGCCATGCGCAATTGAGTTTGAACGAAACCTGGTTGCAGGTGGAGCCAAAATATCAGAAATGGACCCCCATGACTTTTCGGCTTTCGATTTCAGTTTCGACCAAACATTCCGAATGTCCCTCCTTTGAAATTGGGAGTCCCAGGGTTCGAAAAACACAATAGGCCCAAGTTGCCAACGACCACTTTAGCCCAACTCTGAGTTACAAGCTATGTTCGGCTTCATGTTAAGTCGACCTTGTTTGGAGACCCCCGGTTTAGGGATGGCACTTTTATCACAACATTGGGGTAACCTCCGCAGGTCCAGGCAAGCCACATCAGGACTGGAATTTCACCTCCGGTTTTACCATCTCCCTCACCGAAAGAGCCGCTTGCCGATCGGAGCCACGCCTTTCCCTGCGGAAGCAAACCTGTTCCTTCTGTTCAATGGTAAGAGCCGGTCCCTTTCCGGTTCCCAAGTGTGGTTTCTTGAGGCACCCTTTGTTGGGCTCTTTCACTTTTACTTTATTTTTTCATTTTTAATAATAATAATAATATAATAATAAATACAGACGACCCAAAAAGGATGCCGATTTGGACCACATCGGCCTGGTCCAGCTCGGGCTCGGGGTGGCCCACCTGAGCCAGCTGCATGAAACCAGTTGGCAAGAGGAAAGGGGACGCCATGGAACCGAACTCGGCCAAAGATGTTTCAATGGAACATGAACCAAACAGCGGATGTTTTCAGGGAACAAGCCATGAACCAGCATGCCCAGTGAGTTGTCCATGGGGTAGGGGGGCCTGGTGGATGAAAGGGGACATTTAGGGAACTCTGATTTCCATCATTTCCAGTCTGCGAATTATAATTTGCGCTAGAACTTGATGAGTGGGATGCCCCTTCGGGTGGTCTCGTGAGTGGGCTTGGCCCCGCAGTCACCTTCACCTGGGGCTGGCAACTGAAACTGCATCCACTCGTGACCCGGAGGATGTGGGCTCATTGCAAAACACAGCGAGCATAGTTGTGACCGGCTCCCAAGCATTGCTGGGGCAAATTTCTGCATAACTTCCAGAAAGAGGCCTCCAAGACAAGATACCTTTTGCCTCTTGGCATGAGCGTGTGCTAAGTGCCATGCGAGCTGGAGATGACATGGAACACTTCATATTGTTTGTTTTGTGTCTTTTTATTGTTATTATCATTATTACTATTTTTACGGAGTGGGGTCAGAACCATTTTAAGGTGGTATGTTGCGACACCTAAATTACCTAGTAGGATGCCGCATACCTTTCGCCTCACTCACCCCAAAATGAATTCACAGCCCAGACCTGCGGTGGATATCTCTGGGATAAGAGTTGCACGCCGTTGGTCGTTGATTGAGGGGGGCTGCACCCCAACCAAAACATGGAAGTAGGTCTCCAGCGAACCCATCAGAGACTACAGGAATCCGACGCTTTCCACACCAGTAGGAGGCTCATGTTTTTCTCAGGCCCCAAAGTTGATGAACGCATTCCAGATGCGAAATCTCGGATTCCTCCAGGTTTCCTCTGAGTCTTCGAGTAAAACCCAAGGCCCTGGCCACGTGGCCCAGCAGCACCAGCAGCGAGCCCCACACCAGGCTCGGGGTGTCTTAGATTCCAGCGATCCATTCCACCGAAAAACGTCGAAGCGCCGACCTCCATACGCTGGCGTGCACATGGCAAGCTGATGAACATCATCCCCTTGAGTCCCCCCATTTGACCCGACACGCCTTACAAATCGCCACTCCTTTAGAAAAAGCAATCTCCTTGATAGCCATGGGTTGGCACGCCTCTTCCAAATTTCGCCTTGGCCAAGTGTACACTGTATGAATCAAACCCAATGCGCGCAACACCTGAACGCACCCTAGACATGCGACATGCATGATAGGGTCAAACTAGTGAAACCCACATTGTCCAGCAATGATTTCAACTCAAATTGGTTTCAAAGTACCCCACAACCCCATCAACCCCTGTTTAATTACTAGTATGGGCTAATATGGGGGTGTTCTTCTGCAAAAGTGATGAATCCCCACTAAAACCAGGGATATCCCCATATTGATAAACAGGGGCTGATTAATATGGGTCAACATTTGTAGACATGTTGTTTGCCCAACTCCCTCCCCACGTGCAAAAGCCTATGCACCTAGCGATGTTGACTTTGCCGGGGAAGGGGAATTATGGGTTTGGTTGAACAGAGCACAAGCCAAACCGTGTTGTGTTTCTTGGGGTCTCTGCGTTCTGTGGATACACATACTCTTACCATTTGTCATTAACATTGTCGTTGTTGTTGCTTGTTGCTTTCGAAGGAAAGGGGGGAGTGTCCCTTTTTGAGATACGCCAAACAAGCTTGTCCCAAGTGGAATCTTGCCCCTTTTTGGAAGGAGCCGCTCTGCATCGGCGAAGGCTCCTCTACGAGATGAAGGCGCCAGCACATTTGCAGAGGTGCATGATGGAAAGCACATAAAACAACAAACTGTTTTTCAACTCCGGCATGTCGACCCTGCATACTTCAGCCGCAATCAATTTCTGAGTTCTTGAAGTTACCAGCAGTTGGGACCAGCCCCATTTCCGCAGGTTTGGACATCCTTGGTGAGTCAAAATCAAGAATGGTCTACCCAAAACTATGTAAATACTTATCCGGCCCACCAGACCATTTTGGCTAGGGGCCGCCATACCCATCTACGGCTGGGACTGTCCCTTACTACCCATCATCAAAACGAATCTCCTCCACATAAAGCCAAGTTCACGACTTGAGCTCCCTGGAAGTACTCCAAGGGGCCACATAATGACAACAGTGTTCTTTCCTAATGATCATGAGGTAGTTTGGGTTCATAGTAGAAAGTAAGATATATTATTCAGCAACCGGAAGATTACACTTCCGACTAACATGGATGCTCTCAGAAGACCTCTGTACATGGAACCAAGTCTTCCAAGTCCTGGGAGCTTCCATGGGATCGCCTTTTTGGCTAGGCCCTATCCTCACAAAATCGCCATCTTGCTGGTGCTCAGGGAATGAGACAATAAACTCAAATTTGCAAGGAAACCAAATCCATTTCTGCTTCCCTGGATTGGGGTCATTCCAGTATTCCCTTACAGAAATGGGATAGTTTTTCACAAATTCCCGAGGAAAGCAAATCGGGAATTCTTGGGGTGGGCTGGGAATCCGGGAATGAACCCAATTCCCTTGAAGGAAGCTACCGGTTGGATGGTTTTTCTCTTGTCCCATGTCTCAAAGCCATCTCTCGGAGCTCGGTCGGGGGGCTGCTTTTGAAGAGCGCCTGGGAGAAGTCGGTCCAGCCGCTCATGGCGACCTCTCAGATTCTCTGTCTGACGCAAAGACCCAGCGGGTAGCGACCCTTAACCTCCTGAGAATTTGCGATGTTTCGTTCCCTGGGAAAAACAAACGTAAACAACCATGTCCAGTGTTGATAGATTCGCTCTATAACCCAACAGGAGAAAATGACAAACTGTCTTTAGCACATGGAAGACAAAACAAGCAAACACAAACGCTTTTAAACAACCAAACACCCTTTGTTTGTAGTTACCTACTATGGTGGCGAAACGCCTGGAATCCACTGGGAGAGCTTTCATTTGATTGTGAGGCCCATGTTCAGCGGCGTGAATTCATTGAGGGTCCTTTTGCGGACATCATTTAGGCGAGGAGTCATGTCCACCCACCACCTTCGAGGTGGGTGTTTATTGAATTCATAGATAAGTTCTAACACATGGGCTCTAGGATCCTTTGCACATGACTGTCCGTTGGTGCAAGCTGGAACCCGTCCATTTAGAACCTTTTTAGGTCTAGATATTTAAGCGCGAACCAAACTAAATCTAAACGTGTTCTGTGGCATTCTTCTTCTCCGATTAGTTTGCTGTTCTTGCCAATTGAACAAACAACAAAAACAACACCCTCCAAAAGCACACTCCTTAGAACACGCCTAGCTGCTGGTCAGTTGGTTGCTTGCGACTCATCGCGAGCAAACTACCAGAGACGGGCTTGCAAAGATAAGCAAGGTTCGAGACATAGCGTCTCAACTGTTTGACGTGATACAGGGGGTCCCATTCAAGTAGCTCCATGCAAGGCTCAAGTAATGGCTGATTGACACCCAACCCTGCGATGCCTTCCAAACAGGAAAGTCCATTCGGACCACTTTTGCTGGCACAGGCACGGCGGTTTAGGGTATTACGGGAAAGGGGTCCTCAAGGTGTGTCCGCTCTAAACATCACCCCCAAACCCAGCCATGGGCCAAAAAGTGATCTGTCCGATAACCAAAAAAGGGGAAATATGGAGTGCCCAGTCCCGTCCAACCTGATCAAATTGAAACGGGGCTCCCAGTGCTTGTTGCACAGAAAGTCGCCCTTGCTTGCCCCACAGCCGTGGGCAAAAAGAGAACTCCATTTCTATGTGATTGATAAATGGAAACCTCTCACAAGCAAAAAAAGAGCCCTGGAGCTCTTGGAAAAATCTGAGAGGGCAAACCCTGCAAAACTGAGGGAACACCTGACATATACCTTGCATAAAGCTGGGAAAACCTGGAGAAAGGCCTGGAACAGTCTTGGCCACAAACAAAATCCTTCCATCGGAGATCCGAGGCGCCACCACCTTCACGCGCTCGTCGAAGGCGGCCCCCAGCAGCGCCAGGCCCGCGCCGTAGGAGATCCCGGCCATGGCCACCCGCTCCGCGTCAGGCTGCCAGGCGCCTCAGGGGAATCGGTGCGGTGATCGGTTCGGGGAAAAACCCGGCGTGGTTGGGACAAGACAAGCCGGACAGCATGGGCCTGCAAGCAAAACAGCTTTGCTTTTTGCAGGACCCTGGTCAAAATAAAGAGCATGTGTTCTTTTCTCTTACAAGAATATCCAAGAATAGTAAAGATTTTGATTTGGGAGGGAGTAAACTGTTCTATGGCAAAAGACAAGCTTTATGACTGCATCACTTAGGGGATTCCTTACAACTGGCCGTACCGAGCTTCCGGCGGGTCCCGCTCATATCCACTGCAACATGGAACTACATGGTGGTGTCCATTTGTTTATTTGGTGGAAAAAGCCACATGTTCCAAATGGTTGCAAAATGGAGATCTTTCAAGGAGCTCTGTGTAAAGTACCTCCTTTTGGTTTCCTGAGGAATTGGAAGGGGGTGGTCCTTGCAATACTTTTTGCAAACTCGGTGCACCGGCACTCTGACTGCCAAGTGCTCAGTGGTCGCAAAACAAAAACTGGGACACTACTTTGGATGGACAGAAGCCAGATGGCTTGTCCCAATATCAATAGGGGGTGTCATCCAGTCCAACTGTTGCAGGTCCAACCAAGGTCACAACCTACCTGACGCACCTTCAGACTTGCAAGTATGGGAAGCGCCATGCGTGCTCCCCTCATCTTGGTCCGTTATTCTTTGATGTGTCTGGTTGGCTGCAAATGTATTTACTATGTGCAAAGGACCACCCTGAACCCTTGGCCCGCAAGCAACTCCCCTACCTGGGGGGGCGGAGCCAATTTCCTCACCCGTTTCAACAGGGAAGCTGCATCTCATCATTTGAGAACCACCAATCAAGTCTTCATTCAAGCTTTGACAAAAGCCACCTTGGGTGAAGATCCAAAGGCGGTCACACTAGAAAGCAGGGACCCTTTGGGGTGGGGGGTCAACCATTTTTGGTAGAGAACGAAAAAGACAAGTAGAAGCAACAGAAACAAACCGATCGCCCGGAATCCAACTTTGAAATATTCGTTAGGCACCAAAAGGGCTTATTGAGTTAGAGGGGTGCCTCCTTGCTTTCCTTCATCAGGGGAGTACCCACTTGGTTTTAGAGGGTGGGGATCCCTGCCCCCCGGGGATAAAAAGGCACCCCTTTCTTGTCGGTTGCCGGTTGCTGTTCAAAGGACTCCCTTCCCTCGAAACCGTTCGAAACCCACTCAACTGCGAAGTCGGGACCAGCAAACGAAACGCTTCCCAGCATGCTCTTACATGGCTCCTTGGTTACTGGCTTCCATTAAACTCCTGGGTAGTTTGGGGGTTCCTTGAATTCTGTCATGCGGGCGGGAGGGGAGGGGGAGGGAGCCTAAATATTGCCTAAATAGGGGCCTTCCGAGCTTAATAAGGGCTTATTTGGGCTCCCTCCCCCTCCCCTCCCTCCCCCCCAGCCCCCATGATTCCTGGCTGGTTGGGTTCCTTGGATTCATGGCTCATGGTTTCCAGTAAACTTCTGGGTGGTTTGGTTGGGTTCCTTGGATTCTAAGTCCGTGGCTCTGATTCAAAGCGTAGGAGATCACCGCGTTCACGTCCTTCTGGTCCTTCGCCCCTGCGCAGTCGATCTCGCCCCCGGACATCCACCAGCCCCTCGTCTCCTGATCCGAGACGCGCGAGGCCTCTGCTGGGACCTGCACCACGCCTTAAACCACCTGCGTGCATGTATGTGATGCATACATGTGTACATATATATACGTGTATACATACTTACATATATATATATAGATATATGTTGAGACGTGTGCATATATATATATATATATATGTGCATATATATATATATAACACCAAAACCCATGTCAATACGTAATTGCACGTATGTTTAGCTTCCATCGGGAATTCATCTCTTCCATGACTTCAAATCAACCAAAAAGAAGCAATTGTTGGATAGCTTGTTGCGAGTGGATAACTTGTGGACAGCCTTGACTTTGCCAAACGTGGATAACTTGTTGCTAGCGAAGTTATACCCACCATTGTCCAACAGTTAACATATTGCTTAAGGTACCAGATTGTACCAGCAAACAATAAATCTTACTGGCCTGGAGACCAACTTGGTTAGATTAAAACACACAATCGACTTAAGCCAAGTGGGAAAGGTGGGAAGTCATTTGGTACATCCTCAAAAGGTCGTGGGGATAATTTACCAGTCCCAAGATCACCTTGAACACAAGAAAATGGACGGTAGCTGAATTCATGTTTGGGATGAAAGGTCCAGGCGACTAAGGCCCAACACAAGATAGGGGAATGGCACGATTTCCGGGTTTAAAGAAGATCAAGACGTGCACTAGCGCGGCTCAATGCAGGCGAAGTCTCATATTCCAAGACGATGTACCCAGCTCTGGCCAGCTCTTGCGCTTGCACGAGGTATCTCGGTATCTCAAACGCCCAAAGGCCCAAGGCCCCCTGCAAAAGGTCATGTTTGCTCTGAAGGGAAATGGACATAAAAGAAAAAGGCAAACAAGTTGCCGTTTGCCGGTAAGGATCATTGAGGGAACACCAGGGCAAAATGCTAGAAAGGTGAGCTAGGTCTGGCGATATCTCAGGCACACATACCCCCGGTGTTTGGCGGCACGCGTATCCTTTGCGGGCTCCAAAAAATGGATTAGGACCGGATTGGGTGATCTAGACATCACC